AAGGCAAGGCACCCCTTTGTTGCAAGGACCTTGTCAGCTTACAATCCCTAATTTTTTTATGCCTACAGCACCTGGTCTTCCTAGGTGGTTTCCCATCCGAGTACTAACTAGGCCCAACCCTGCTTAGCCACCAAGATCAGATGGATCAGGTTTGTTCAGGGTAGCATGGCTATAGACCACCAGTGCTTTCTTAAACAGAAGTTGCTAAATAAAGTTACGAGCTAGAAAAGCTTGTTAAAATGGAAATTCCTGATAATTCTAGTACACATTAAAGTTTGAGAACCATTGTTTTAATACTGAAAAGGGTTTTTGTTAATAAAATAAGATTAAGAAGAAATTGACAGTAAGTAATGTCAAAAATAAAAAGCTATAATGTGTTTTATATTTTATTATTGCACTCTCAGTAGGCTGCCCCTTTGTTAAAATTTTCATGATTTCCCAAAGAGAAGCTATTTTTCAATCATAAATTTGCTCCCTACAATAAAGGTTTTGTGCAATAAGCATTTCTGCTTCATTTATGCTTTCCCCCATAAAGCATTCCAAATGAAAGATTAATTTAACTGGAACCCCTTACCATCCATACAAGGAAGTCCAAAGTTTACAAAAAAAAAAAAAGGGTTAATGAGTTTTCAGGGCTAGTCGTATCAGTTATTAACCAGAGGCCATAAATAGCAAGATAAGATCACCAATGATGGGCTCCTAGAAAGTGGCCTGAAGAGCATCAGATGACATTCAGGTGGCTGCTAGGTGACAAGAGTAAGTGAATCACAAGTGGGAAGGTTAGCGAAAATGCCTAAAAGGATGTGTAAACTCTACTTCCAGTTTAGCTTGAATTTTCTCTTCAAAAATGTGGCATAAATATAAGCAAGTTGGGATGGGGGCAGAAGGTAAGCTAGCCTCTTAAAAAACTTTGAGATAAAGGAATCTCAGAGGCAGCTGAAAACAGTGATAGGATCTACAAAAACTGTTATGACAAAACAATAGATGAATACATAACATGAAAGGTATTGCTGTATGATCATCAGACTTTTCAGAGAAACAAGAGAAGGCAATGGAAAGCACATTGCATTGGAAAACAAAAGACCCAGGTTTTTTTCTCAGCTCTGTCACCAGGTGCCCCTGAAACACTGGGTGAGGTGAATAAGTTCTCTTCTGAAGGGAATTGTTGAGCTAAATGATTTCTGAGGTCTCTTTGAAGTGTAATGCAATATTCTAAGCCATGTCTTGTTATACAAAGCGACTGTCACTAGTACTTTTATGTCACCTTTCAATTAATAGATACGTATATATCTCCTTGTCTTCATGTCTACACAAATAGCTATTAACCATACTGAAATGAATTCGCAGAAAGATCAATTACCTTTTGATGTTTTCTCATTTAACTCTTCTGTTAATATTACAATTTTTAAAATATACTTTTTATTTCTTATATATATATTTGCATGTAGCACATATATTTCCATCTAGAATCTAAATGGATGAAACTCAACTAATGGTATGCAAACCAAAATGTTATATTCTTCTCACTCTGAAAATATAGTCTAGATAAAGAATATATTTATAGCATTAGGTTGGTGCTTGCCCAAAGTCTTAGCTTGTCAGAGAAGAGGCAGGATTGAGAGTGGGATGAAGCTGGAGAAGAGAGACCTTTTTACCATTGTGGCAAAAAGAACACATTGTACCATGTGTTCTGGTAACACATGTCTTGGTCCTTATCACGGACAAAGAAATGAATTTCCACTCAGTGATAATTATGAGAATTAGTTTTGAGATAGAAGACAGTTCAAGGCTAAAACTGGCTACCATGGATACGTACCTTGATGCAGGAACAGGTTATAGCCAGGGAAGATAGAGAGCTGTAATCTCAGGGGAGGGGGAGCTCTGTGTTATATTAGGCCATGATTGGTGGATACAGAGGAGTTCTTAGATGATTGGCACATGAGGTCATTTTGATTGACACTTGGCTACTATATAGCACTTTGCCTAGTATATATATGCTTACCCAGAATTCAGTCTGTTATCATTAAATTCATGAACTTCCAGGTATAAACATGGTATTATAATGATGGTATAATGAAGCTGAAGTAGTGGGCAGGCTAGGGTAGTTCTTTCTGGCATGTGTCTGTGGCCAGATCAAACCAGCTATAGATTACGGCCTTCCTGTCCTTTGTCTCTGCAGACGCAGAAGGGATTCTTTGGGTGGTCTCTGGGCTGGGCCTCTATTCCTTTGTTCCCCTGTCTCTGATGTCTGACTAGCTACCTAAAAACCTGATTCGCAATATTTATTTAGTCATATATTCCCAAAGCATAAAAATATCCAAAAGTTAGTAAAATTTACATGGCTAAGGAAAAATAAATGCTTTGCGGTCACAATTAATTGTCAATTATCTTTCTGTAGATCAGCTTGGATCTAAATATTCAAATATAGAGGTAGAGATATAAAAAGAAATTTGTTTTTTTTTTTTTTGAGCCTAGTAAAGTATAGAAAAGAAGGCTCTTTAACTTATACCATTTATCCTCTCCCTATGAAAGTTGTGAATCACTGTTTTGATAGGAAAGTCCAAGTGAAATGTTAAGCTCCTCTTTGCACCTAAGAAGAGATGCTAACATATTTCTAACAAGGCATCAACAGTGGGAGATTCTATGGGGTGGGGGTGGGAGAGGTAGAAATCAATTTCTTAGAATGGTTTTTCCATGATTTTGGTGGCAGCATAGATGGATTTTTTCAAATGTTAGAACAGGGCCTCATACCTTCTTACAAGTTTTGTGGATCTTAAAACCCGAGATTCTCTCTACTATGGCCCAAAATTGAAAATCTAAAGACAAATTTCTCTCGTGTGTGACCTTTGTTTTGAGACCTAGATTTATTAATATTTTTTTAAGAATTAAATAAATTTCTTATGAATTTATGAATAAGATGGAAAAAAGGGCAAATATATTTTGATATGGAAGGAAATAAGCCAGAGTTTGGCTTCTTTGAAACCTTTTCCTATTTCCCTGAAAGAACGTATTATTTCTCACACTGTTCCCATAGCACCTTGTGTGTAAATATATTATAATGTTAAAGTTATTACATAAAATGTATATATGTTCTCATATCTGCATCTCTCATATTACAAACGAAACCCCCAGGAACAGAACCACATCTTTGTACCTCATCCCACCCCCAAGTCCTAGCTCAGTTACTGGCATATGGGACACGTACAATAATTGCTTATTAAATCTAAACTATTACTTTTACAACGATATATTTTTTAATAAGTAGAACTTATTTTTTTCCACTCGAAGAACACCCTGTTGGTAGTTAGAGAATTCTTCCTGCATCCACAGAGACAAATCAAATATTTGGAGTAAAAGTATTTACTTCTTTCTAGGATCAGTGATAAAGTCTACAAATTAGTGTGATGATTACAGTGTTAGGCAGCATCATAATCTGACTTTGTTTCTGAAATCAGATATATACCCAAACTTTATTCTCCAAGTTTGTAGAGTAATAGCTTAGAGAAAAGAATATATCTGCTTCTCTTTTTGCTGTACTCTCTTGCCAGTCAATTTCTCTTTAGAATTAGAATTGTTTCTGAGGTTACAGAAATATCAGTGCCACTTTCAGTAGTGAAAGCCCCATTTTATGCCGATTACAATGCCTAGTTGGCAATGAAGTTACTAAGTGAGAAGGACCACTTAGCACATAACTAGCAGTCGTAAAATATGTTGAATATAATTAAAAATATATTATAATTTTTTTATTAAATAGCTAACATTACTTGATGATTCTAATATAAAGACATATTAGAATACTTTCAAAGCAATTTCTCTGAGAAGGTCAGAGTGACTAATAAATGTTAGGATATTAATTCCCAAAACATCACTATGAGAACTCTGAAAATTATGAAATTAAGTGAGAAGGAAATGATGAATGATCGACCCTATCTCAGTGGTTTATCTGAAGCAAAGCCTTAAATCTTTGTATTTTCTGCTGGAATTGCTTGACCTTCTGCGTTCCAGTATGAAAGAAATTTCCAAAGAAAGTGTAATCTTTCAGTACAAGGGGAGCAATCCTCTAAGCAGTCTTAGTATTATTTAAAATACACGTCCTGGTATTTGATATAATTGGGAGTTCAAGCAAAATTTTGAACAGTTAAACATATTCTGAAATCACTGTACTTGAATATGGCACAACATTTTCAAGATATAATATTCATTCGATCATTTAATTGAACGAATTTTATCAAGCGTAATATATTCAGTGAAGGAGCCTGTTGTAGGCGCTAAGAATATGAGGTGACCAAATTAGACCTCTTCCATTAAAACCCAGAGAGAGAAACAGACAATGAGTAAGTAATGCCACAAAAAACCTGAGGTTATAATTCTGAAAAGACCTAAAAATTAACATACTAAGAGAGAATGTGTTAGTTTCTTAAGCCTCGGCTGGTGGGGCTAAAAGAGGCTTATATAAATTGTGGCTCCTATTCAAATAATAGTGACAGCCCTCGATTTAGGAAATAGGTTTGTGAAAAAGTCAGCGTCATTCAGACAGTGTCTTAAATATAGTAGCTGTACAGTAAATGTTCACCAAACACAACCAGGAAAATAAAAGCCAAAAATGCAAAAATACTTAATAAGGAGTACAAAAACATTTAAATACACAATTAAAAAAAAAAAAGAAGAGTAATACTAACATGCTGTGTTCTTACCCCTATTGTTCCAAAACTTTCTGGCTTTCTTCTCATCTTTTTCTTGCACAAGTGTGTCCATATCCATTTGATCAAGTACCAGAGAGACTTGGGGCTTGGGATGACATTGAACGGAGTAGGCAGGGTACCTCCTTCTTCAAAATAACTCATCCAAAGCTTTGTTCGAGCAAATTTCCATTCTATATCTGCGTGGTCCTGAATGAGAGAATGTGACAATTGCTGACAGATTTCTTAATAAGGTAAGATAAACCTCATAGAAAGCCTGTAACCTGATTTTGAGTGGCTCTTGGAACATTAATTAAATTGCTTATAAAAACACCGCTGACTCCTGGAGGTAGTCATCTAAACATTTCAGATGATGGCTTACCCTAGTAAGGAGTCACAGTTCTCTTGACACTTTTCTTCCTTCCCTTTTCCATGAAACAGACATCTAAAATAATTCCATGCTAAAGAGCCTGCAATGATAAGTTATGTCCTGAAGATGAATATTGATTTCCTGCACTGTAGGCTTACATTAGCTGTTTCATTAGATTCTGGCCACAAACAGGGCTTCAAATCTTACCCAAGTCCTTGAACCCCCTGCCTAGATAAATGCAATCTTCATAGATGCTCATGGCTTAGCTTTCTGGTGTGTCCAAAAAGAGCCTTGCTTGATATGTTTCCATATGAATAATTATTGTCCACCTTCAGGCAACAAGCATAAACTCAGAGAGAAGTTTCTTTAACAAATGTGGGGTTGGGTCTCTGACACAGCACTGAACTCTGACATAACTCTGGCCATTGGGCACCAGAGAGGGGTATAGCCGGTGGTTGCCCATAAGCCTGAAGCTATCCTCCATGATCATTTATTAATCATTCAACTTTATTAATCTCCTGGGAAAACTTAGGAACATTTGTGGTAATTAGAGTAGAGGGCAGCCAGTTTCCTTTTAAATTAGCCAGAAACTGATTTAAGCAAAAAATCTGAGAAGTAGAAAGTGGTAGAAACTATGCATACAGATATTTAAAAACCACAAAATAATTTATATAACCCATTAATGTTATTTTAAAAAACTCAGAATTTAGAGTAGGATAATAATATCAGACTATATATCATTCTGAATTCCTAAACTGTTGTGGGCTGATGAATACATATGTTGTATATACATTTCTAATATGAACAATGTAGATTTTATTCTAGACACTAGACAAATTGTGCTTTCAACAGGAATCACCATATCTAGAAAATGCATCACCTTCATTGTTGCTTAGCAAATGTCTGATTGGGGGGATCAATCAAAAGATGGAAGCACAGAAGCTACAATTTCCCTCCCATTTTCCCTCTTTTTCCTCTCCTCCAGTTCTACACCCTTCCCTTCCTTATTTAAACAAAGCATATAAATTCTGAATTAAAAAAATATATATATATTGTTTGCTACAGTAACAGAGAATGGAATTCAGTAGAATCAGGTAAGATATTAAAAGGGAAGTCACTTAGATAAAGCATTGGCCTGTCAGCAGCTTCTGCTCCTTCTGATTCTGAGTCATAAATTAAGGGTTATCTTGTCCTCATCATGTACTCTTACACAAAGCAGACTCTCCCTTTGTTCTTAGTTTGGGATTCTCAAAGGATCTAAACAAAGTCTATAGTGGTTAGAAAAATGAAGTGAAAAGTTCTAAGCTGGTGATGACTAAAAACCACCTTCTGCTATCCACCTTTTAACTCTTAGTCAATATTTAAAACTTTGCTTAGGTATTTTCTTTCCTAGGAAGCCCGCCCTGATTGCCATCAACCTCAGCTGCCTCTCACCCTCAACCCATCATGGTCCTCTCAATATCAAAATTATTTGCTGATTTTGTCCCTCCTGCATTACATTTTTCTTGAAGGCAGGAACATCACTATTCTGTATATTCCTAAAATCAAGCATACATCTGGCATATACTAGTGCACAATAAATATTTGATCAGTGAACAAATGAGTGAATGAGAAGCAGCCTTTAGACATGGCCTGCATTATTGTTTTTGCCTTTTAACTATTAAACTCCGTTTTCATGCTTTACCCTAAAGCTCTCAGTTAGGGATATCAGGACAAAAGAGAAAGCCCTCAGGGTAAATTCTGATATTCTGATATTCTGGGACAGGTGAAAATCAAATACTTGTTATGTTCATGCCCCAAGGAGGCATTGTGTGCAGGGGGCTGCGAGGTACACTTGTCTTAGCTCCTCAGTGCCTGCTCTCCTCTCAAGTAGTTTTAGAGCTAAACGAAAATAGATTTGAAGCTTGTTATTATCTTTGTAAGAAGGAACCTAGGAAGACGCACTCCATGAAGAAGCAAAAAGGAAATGTCATACTCTTCTTGAATAATGTTCTCTTGATGAAATCTGTACATTTAATGTTTTATAGAATCCAAATTATATATTTATAGCTTCACTGTACATAGCTTGATAATTAGAAGCTTTCTAATGTTTGAAGAGGTGGTCTGGAAAATAATATGTATATTGTAAAAATGTGTTAACTAGAGGAATACAGAAGTTCTGAAGCCAATATATATAGGGACTATCTAAAAGAATCAGTTTTGTAAGATGCTTAAATGAAACTCCAAAAATTTAGATTGCACATGCAAATCCTATGACCTAGGTATATCTAAGTGGAAATACTTTAGACTGTGAGTCAGTAAATAAAAATCATCTATTCTTAAATTTATGCAATTTTTTATCTGTGACAGGTTTAAGTAAAATTCTGAATGTTGCTTCTCAAAATAACAATAATAATACTCCAGAGATTTAGCAATAGATTCCAAGATGCAATATAATTATAGGTATTTATGGAGAAAATGAGTGGCCTGTAATTATCCCTATGAAATGCTACTTGTCTAAGGAATAAATATTAAAGACTTAAGAGACATATTTCATTCCAATATGGATTGTTTTATCACTATTGCCATTGGCCTTAGGCTTATATCACTAGCATGTATGTTCAAGGTAATAAAAGGCTTTGTTTTCCTTGTTCACTGCTGTATTTCTAGTTCCTAGAAAAGTACCTGGCAGCAGAGTAAACACTCAATAAAAAATTGTTGAATGAATGAATAAATACATTAAACTAAGTTTTTGGAGTCCAGAGATTCAAATAAACAGAGATATTGTATATTCTGCTATAAAATTCAGAGTTACACCTACATTGCTTTTTCTAGGCTTTAAGAAACTGATTTCCTGTGGCTTTTTCCCTCGGACTCCTCTCTGGGTATCTTTTATAGCTTGCCAAGCTGGCCTGAGTTTGCTTATAAAGAGATTATAGGTTAACTGGACAGAGATAATGCAAAGTCCAAAGGGCACTGCGTAGAGCTACATTGCCTGTTCATAATTCATATTTCATCTACTGCTTATTAGTCAATGACTATCTGGTAAGATAGATTCAGTTTATTTTATAATCTTATGTAATATGATAACACTACATTAAGATATAGCTAAATATGGTAAATACTGCTTAGAAACTTCAAATTAACTATTTATATTATACTTCTGATATATCTTCTCAATAGCCAATTACAGACTTTATTTCCAACAATAATAGGATGGAGTATAGTTAAGAACGACACATTGTAGGACAGAATATTAAATTAAAATAAAGTTATTCAACTTACAGCAATAAGTTGGTAAGAATTATTCATCATAGCTATTAACATGTTGAGTAAGACAACCAGAGAGATGACATTGTATGTTCCAAACATGGTGGCACCAACAAACTCAGTGAATTCATGCTGCGCTTTGACATTGGTCACATATAAATTGATGAGCCCAAATATTGACCAAAACAGGGACTGGAGTGTCTCAAATAACCTGAAATCAAGATAAAATGACACTAATAGCTATATTAATAGAACCAGTATACAATAAGACATAACAGCAGAACTCGATTACACTTGTGTATATTTGATTAATTTAAAAATACATATCAATAGTAAAATAATATTTTAGGGTAATTATAAAATTAAGCTTAATAAAAAAATAAATAATTATTTTATCACTTGCACAAAATGTGTACTTAATTTTCCTAAGGGCTTTGAAAGCTATGTTTTGTTTTCTAGAGCAGAAATGACAAATCTGACCCACAGCCTATTTTTGTATGGCCCTTGAGTTAAGAAGGAGTTTTGCTTTTTCAAATGGTTGAAAAAAAACAGGAAGAATGATATTTTCTTATATGTGAACATTATATAAATTTAAAATTTGATGACCATAAATAAAGTTTCACTGAAACACAGCCATACTCATTTATTTAGACATTGTCTGTGGTTTCTTTTGTGTTACAAAGGCAGAAGTGAGTAGATACAACAGAGTACACATGGCTCACGAAGCCTAAAATATTTATTATTTTACATTCTTTGTACTTTACATAGAAAGTTTGTGACCCATCTTAGGGCACTGAGTGATAGTTAAGAAATAATAGATTCCCAAGCTTAGTCTTTGAAAAATGTCAGTTATTTTACCTGATTTTGCTTTTAGTTGTAGAAAGATTTAAAATAATGTTATCATTATGGATTTCCATATTGATGATTAAAATTGCACAGTGAATCCTGTAAGTTGGCAATGTGTCTTAGAGTACTTAGATTATAAAATTTGCTATTTTTATATTTCAGGGAACATTTTACTCATTCCTGCCAATGAACAAATTCCGGTGATCTTATTGAAAGTAGAGTTTCTTTAACTTACTGCAAGAAATGGGATAAGATGTAAAAGCAAAGATAAATGAATGAAACTATATCAAACTAAAAAATTTCTGCACAGCAAAAAAAAAAAAAGAAAAACCCATCTACAAAACAAAGAGACAACCTTCGGAATGGGAGATGATATTTACAAACAACACCTCTGATGAGCTAATATCCAAAATATGTAAAGAACACATACAAATCAATGAATAAAAAATGGACAGAGGATCTGAACAGAATTCTCTCAAGAGACATACAAATGGTCAACAGATATCTGAAAGACGGTCAACCTCACTAGCTATTAGGGAAATGCAAATCAAAACTACAATGAAATACCATCTCATACCTGTAAGAATGTTTATCACCAAGACAAATAATAAATGTTGGAGAGGTTGTGGGGAAAGGAATCATCATACACTGCTGGTAGGAATGCAAATTGGTACAGTCTCTATGGAAAACAGCATGGAGACTCCTCAAAAAATTAAGAATAGAATTACCTTGTGGCCCAGCAATCCTTCTTCTGGGTATTTACCCTCATAATTAGAAACATTTATCTGTAAAGATATATGTACCCCGATGTTCATTGCAGTAATATTCACAGTGGCCAATACATGGAAACAACTGAAGTGTCTAACAATAAATGATTGGATAAAGAAGAAGTGGTACATATATACAATGGAATATTATTCAGTCATAAGAAAAGATAAAATATTGCCATTTGTGACAACATGGATCACTCTTCAGATGATCATGCTAAGCGAAATAAATCAGACAGAAAAAGTCAAGAACCATATGATTTCATTCAAATGTGGAATATAAAAATGAAAGCAACAAATCAAAAGATAATCAAAAACTCACAGACACAACAGTTTAGTGGATATCAGAGGGAAAGAAGAGGAGGGGGAGGTAGACAAGGGTCAAGTAAATATATGGTGACAGTAGGAGATTTGACTTTGGGTGGTAAACACATAATGTAATATATGGATGATTTATTATAAAATCGAAACCTATCTAATTTTATTAACTAATGTCATCCTAATAAATTTAATGAAAAAAATAAAGAAATAGGGTAAGGTGAAGAATGTTTAAACCCAAATGAAAAAAATCTTTGTTTCAGGAGGACCATTATAAATCCTTAATACAATGTCATAAAAAGACAAGAGAACTCTTACACTATTTGATAAATGGTTACAGTAAAACTATAGTTAAATTATATTACAAAAACAAAAACTATCTGTTATATAGCATGGTGACTGTAAAAGGTAAGATTTCAGTCTTCAGGGAGATTAGCATTAGTTTGGAATCATGTTGTAGGCCCAAGTCAATCATGTTTCCTGTCAGCTTCCAGCCCCTGTGACACTGTTCCATGTATACCCTTTGATGCAGGGGTGGGCCTTATGTAGGTCTCTAAAGCTCCCCACCGAGAGCCTTTCTAGATTAGTTCGGTCATGGTCAAGTGACCCAAGGAGAGCCAATTTATATGACTCTGCTGGACAATGGCATGGCCAGATGTGAAAAGATGAACCTAAACAATCAGATTTCTTCTCTAAGAAAGTTTAACTTAGAAAAATCAAGAAAATAAAGTAGTTGCCAAAAGGGACTGAAATGCTAGGAGTTATGATGTAAGGTTTATGAGAAGCTAAAGGTTTGAGACAGCACAAACTAAAAAGCAGAGAATTGAGGAAGAAGAAGTCAAGTAATAAGTAACCACCGAAGAGAATACATGTGGACCAGCTGAATCATGTTTACGTTGATTCCCAGAGTAAAGAATCCCATGGTCCAGTGCTATGTTAACTCCTGCTCTTCCTGAAGCCAGGTTTTACTCTAAGTTCTTTCTTTGCTAAGATCAACCCTTGCTCAGAGAATCATTGTAATGAAACTTGATTCTTGTAATGAAACTCCTGATACTTGAAACAGTCCATGAACTTCTAATCTGTATAAACAGAACTAACTAAGGGTGCCTTAAGTGAAGTTCAAGATTTCTTTTCTCAAATTGATTGTTTTTTTAGTAAACAATTTCATAATTTTAATTATATAATTGAATTTTAAGTATAAGATATAAAATTTACTTATGTCATTGGTTTATTTTGTTTCTTCTAGA